CAGTGTTTTCTTTTATGTTTTCTCCCATCGGTCATTAATTAGAACCCATTTTCGCTCCCCCCTATCCCCTACCATTTTCTAATACCGGTACATAATACTAATTATGATTAATAATAATGGTAATCCAGGTGTACCCGTGGTACTATGTATCCTGGCAAATTAGTGCCCTTTATTTATACCTCTGATGGCACCTCCGAGAGAGTCGAGATGAGCAGAAGAAGTGGAAGAGGAGGAAGGAGGGAGGAGGGAGGAGGGAGGAGGGAGGAGGGAGGAGAAAAAGCAGGATGAGGAAGCAGATGAAGCATTTCACAAACAGGCAAAGTTTGGACTCCTGTTCTGCGTCAAATACTTGTGGACCAAAGTGATAAATGATGAAGTACCGGCGATGGGGAAATCAATCGAGAAATCGGTCAAGGCGTTGTACAAGCCAGCTGAAGCTTACATCAGACTATCAATTTTCTTCTCAAATGACATCAAATTGGGTGAGTGCATTCGAGGCTCCACTCTCTACAAATGCAGGTCCTGACGAGCATGGTTCCATGACTGTGAATCAACAAAACTTGAAGTTGAAGGTGAAAATACGTATTGTATTCAATGGAGACCTGAAATATCTAGAAAAATACAACAAACGCGTTCCAGATACCTCTCGCACAATTTGCTCATTGTGTTGGTTAGCATGGCACTCACTCTAATTAATCGAGAGATCAGCCCATCGATCTGGTGTGTTATTTGGAATGATGAAACTCAGCGATCCTTCATCTTATCCACAGGTTCCTCGAGATTCAGCAGCGTACTCAAAGAGTGCTGCTCTGAATGGTGCATAGAGCATGTTTGAAGATGTCTCTAGCTTCCTCATCTTGCCTTTCAAGAGCCCTGCCTCCGCGTTGAGGTAACAGACAGAGTCGTCCATCTGCTGCACAGCATCTTTCAACCCTTGCAAGGCGTCGAGGACCTTCTGTTGAGCTAGCTGGACATCTTCTTCCGACAGATCTTCGCCGTCCACATAACGACTCGCCTCTCCTCCTATCTCCTGCTCATCGCTGCTCGCCATCCCCACCGCTTTTTCAAACTGCGGCAAGAAGGCGTGCTAAAACGTTATTTTAAAAACTTACTAGGACTCGCCCGGGCCATCCGGCGCCGCTGACTCGCCCGGCCCGGGCGCCGGGGCCGGGAGTCACCGGGCCGCCCGGCCCGGGCCGGCGGCGGCGCCGCCACTGGGCACCGCCCGCCGTGACCGGTTCGGCCCGGACGGTCAGAGGCTCTGAGGGAGTCAGTCCGCGGCCCGGCGGCGTCACCCGGACCGTACGGCGCCGGACGGGTGGAGCCTCCGAGGCTCGGCCGGGGGCGGCCAGGCCCGGGCCGCGAGTGGGCCGAGTGCCCGCCAGCGGCTTGCGCGGCCAGTTCACGGTTGGTAAGTTACGGGCCGCGGCCCGGAGACTCCCGTTCCCGCCGGGGACTCATTTCTCTGAGCCAGTCGGTGGCACTGGCTGGGCATGGCCTGGGACTCCGGGAATCACGGGGGGCAAGGACTGGGGCTTGAGCGCGGGGCCCGGCCCCCATCGGACCGTGGCGTGACTCGGACGTGGCACAGTACGGTGGGCGCTCAGCTCAGCTGGGCCCGCCGGCCCGGCACTGAGCCGCGCCGGGGCGGCCCGCGGCCCCGGCCGCCGGCGCTGAGTGCCCGGCCGGGAGCCCGCTTTGCTATTTTCGGCTGTCGTTACGACCGTTTCCAACAGATTTTGAGGACTCAGGGAGACGGCGATGCGTGAAAGGGAAAGGAGGAGCGCAAGAGGAGACGAAGATGAAAGATCAGAAACATCAGTAGATTTACAAAGATCGATGCTAGCAGATGCTGTCTGCATACAGCAGGTCTGAAAGTCTACAAGGAAGGGACTCTCATGATCTCTACGAGCAAAGTAGAGGGATGAAGGAATCAGTTTGTATCTTGAGGTTGAAGAGAGGAGAGGGAAAGTGAAATGATCTTTGACGTTGTTTTGTAACAAAGTTTTGATTGTGAGATTTGTTTCAGCAAGTTGGAAGCGGTGCTGCAAAGGAATGGGTAGTGGAAGTTGAGAGCAACAACGAACGATGACAAGGCAGGACGATTTGGGGCAGAACACGAGCAGAAGTACTCTTGTTGAGGAAGAAAACAAGAAGACATGGAAATACTTCATGGAATATCTCGGAACATTTTACGAAGGGATCAAGTTTGCATGTAAGACATGCTATTTACAAAACAGGTCCTGTTTTCTGATTATAGCCAGGCACGTGGCATACTTTATTCATGGTGGCGCTCACAAACTTGGCAACATTCTGCTGTGCCAAAGGTCAGAGCTCAACTGAGTCCTCGTGCAGACCTGACTGAAGCTGTCAGGCGTGCTCGATTTCTCCTTTGACTTCTCGATGAGCATTGTCGCGGTCGGCACTGTCTTCCCTCTGGTCTTCTGCGTGCAGGTATGCATGCGTTGATGATGATAAGCTTGTCCTCTTCTCTCTCCGTGCCGCCGTTGTGTGCGATGGCAACTGACATCGTGTGCAGGCGAGCTTCACCAGGAGGGAGCGGGCATTGAGTTGCTTAGGGAGCTTCAAGGGAACCATGTCAGTGTTTGAGTGGACGAGGAATGGGAGGTTTGTGCTGAGGTGTTGTACAGGTTTGCCCTGTTCTTGATGTTCAAGACGTGGGATAGAGACGAGGAGGCAAAGTTCGTGGGCGAGGTGGAGGACCTGATGTTGAAGCTGCTCGACGACATCACGTGCTACCTCAAGAGCTCAACGAGAAACCCTGAGGCAGGGCATGTCATCTACGACGGCTTCTCGGCGCTGGCGCAAAAGATGAAGGAGTTCCTCCCACGCACAGGATACTCGAAGCCCGGGGAGGGAGGCCTGTCGAGGATGCAGATGTACCTGCGGGACCTGATGACGCACTTCGAGGGTGTGAGAGCCGTGCGAGACTCGGAGACGCCCATCGGTCTGCGACTCTTCTGCTTTGCCCTGATTCACATCTCTCCTATCCTCCTCGCTCCTTATTGGAATCACTTCTGCGAGAAGCAGAACAACTCGGAGATGCCGTCGCAGTACGGGTGTGAGTCCGGGTACTTCGTCGGCATCTTTTACGTCCTCATCGTCCTCACCCTCTACCGCGTGCAAGTCGAGCTCGAAAACCCCTTTGACGGCAGTGGGGATGACGACATCAAGTGGGACCTCTGGCGAGCGCAGCTGGAGAACATGGGCAGCTATGGTTCTGATGGTCCGAGGAAAAGGGCCGTGCGCACAGAGATGTTGTATCAAGCACCGGCAGGAGGGTGAGGCTCGCAACGAGTGACAACTAACCATTCCTTTCTTTAAAGTCCTGCCTTATATAGCTCCACCTCCTCGTCTCTATCAACATTCACCTTCACTCAAAATGTATCTTGGAAAAATTTTCATCTCCTGTCGCCTTTCGCAGACATGATCTGCAGCTGCTGCAGGCGATACTGCACCGCAGCGATCTCACTCCGTTGGCCGGCACTGAGCTGCCCCGCTGCAACCTCATCACTACTACTCGCATGAGGTATCAGCAAGGGACTGCACCGGAGCTTGTCCGATCGAACGGTCGAATCCCGTTGTCGTCAATCCCAGCCTGACGATGTTCACATGTCAGCAGCGCTGACAAGCTTCTCAGAAGACAGACCTTGTCGACTCCTTCGCTTCTATCTCTCAACGGGGAAACATTCCTGTTCTCGGGTCAGCAAATAGTGGGCAGGACAGATGTTAGAATACCTCGACGATCTTCCCTGCCTCTCACTGCCAACCTGAAAAAACGCAGTCTCAATAGACATCTGACGTTTCAAAGCCACTGCACCATCTCCATGGCTCCTGCCATTCCTCGAGCAAATTTCTCGGAGTCAAACTTGGGCTCTTGTAAGTTTTGCTGTGAGAAATGACCTCAGCAACTCAACCACCCTCTTTCACATGTGCGACCATCTTTTTCTTGATGACTTCAAACCTATCCATGATCTGCAGGGTGGTTTGTCAGGGCAGCGGACAGCGGACAGCGCAGAGGCCAGGAAGTCTTCCTTCACACCTGTCGGTCTGCAATCTTTCGATCAGTCGGAGGCAGTTTGAGAGCTTGGCAGATTCGGTTGCACTTGTGGGTCTTGAAGAACTTGAGAATCCCATGCTAGGAAGCAGTGTCAAACACAGCAAGATTCTTAATCACAAACAAAGATAACACAACTCTTAGTCAGAATCAAACACATCCCCATGACAGCATGCCATACCTGGCCCAGGTTGCCTCTTCCAAAACTTTGTCCGTCGATGCTGTGAATTTGCGGGTCTGTGTAACAATCTGCCAGGCCTTGGATGTCGCAGACGATGAGCATGTGCCTCGATGCCTCCCACGTGAAGTGCGTGAACGCCTGCGGGAGCTGCTCCGACGTCTCCACGTTCCCGTCATTGTCGTTGTGCTTCACGTAGTCCCCGAGCAGAAGGGGCTCGACGTTGCACAGTTGTCCGTTTCTTTCGTTGAGCATCATCACATTCACTGGCAGAAATGATACTTTCCACTTTGTCTTGAGCTTGTTGAACTCTTGCGCAAAGCACTCAGCTGCCATCTGCGTGAGAGCCTCGTCGAAGTATTCCTTGCTGTTCGTCTCTTTCTTGAACACCTTTGCAACACACGGTACAAAGTCTCCGCTGTCCTCAAGTTCGTACAGCTTCATGCAAACTCTCATCCCGCCTTGAGCAAATGGCTTCTTATCCACCACCACCCGCACTTTGTGGGTCTGCCACGTCTCGTTGTGGGGGTTGTAGGTGAACTTGGTTGCCAGCTCTGACCTGTTCCTCAGCGGCATCGGGTCCGATCTGTAGAGCCTTGTAGGACTCAATAGTAGAGACTTGACCAGAGAGACAGTCTGCAGGAGACGCACTCTTCTCTTCACAAGCTCAGACACACCTGTCACCTGTTACTTACGCTGGCTGCTGTTCCACCCAACACTGTCCGAGCTCAGTCAGGATCAGCCTGAGTTCACGTTGCCGTGACTCTCGTGACAACTCAGTTGGGTTGCGGCAAGACAAGAGGAAGCAGCTCTTAGCGGTGGGTCGACCTTTCCTCCTAGAACCTCCTCCTTCACTTTCCCTCCGAGGCTCCTTCCTCCCCTGCATGCGGCGGGGCCATCCTCATGGTCGCCTCAGCGCTACTTCTACCGGGAGGACCTACGACCCTACCGTACTCGGAGTTGGGTGAGTTAGGCTCAGCCTCTGGCAAGTTCCGCCGAAGTTCGGCGGGCCCCGCCGCCGGGTGGCGGGCCGGCGGGCCAGCCGCGGCGCGGCGAGCCTTCACGGGCCCGGTCACCGCCAGCGGACGCTGACTCGGAGTCACTAAGAGTCACGCGGCACAATCTGATCCGCCGGGCGGGGGCCCAGGCGGCCCGTGCCGGGCCCGGCACTGCAGTACGGCACGCTCACTCACGGCAGTCACAGCCGGGCTGGCGCGGCGGTACTACCGTAACCCGGGCCGGCCGCCGCCCCCCCGGGCCCCGGCCACCGTCGCTGTGACTCACTAAGTTGTGACTTCAATCATCGGAACTCGGAACGCCGCCCGGCGGGCCCCGCCGGGCCCGCCGCAGGCCCGGGCCGGTCCGACCGGGTCGGGCTGGCCGGGCCCGCCGGGCTCGCCGGGGTGAGGGCGGCCGCCGCCGGTACGGTACGTCACCGGTGCCAGCCAGACCTGCGGACTGAGGCCGCTCCGAACCGTTGACTCGACCGTGCCGCTGTGCCGGACCCGGGCCGGGACCGGCCCGGGCCGGGGCAGTGACCGTACGGTCCGATCGGATCGGACCACCCGGGCGTTCCTTCCCCCTCAAGAGGAGATCCGAGGCCAGCAAGCTAGCTCGGTGGTTTTTACATGCCGTGATGAAGTGGAGTGTGACGGTATGTGGGTCCATGGCGGCTGCCCTGGTTGCCTGGATCGTTCTTCGAAGCCCATCGAAGCCTCCTCTCCCCAACTATCCTTTCGCGCTCCAAGATGCTCTCAGAATGCAGGGAGACCCGGCAGCAGGACCAGCAAGCACACAGGTAGACGAAGACTTGGCCCAGCTCCTGCAAGGCATAAACGGGACGCCGCTGAATAGATCCCTGGAGGATGATGTTGTTCCTGCTGTCCTGACAGCATTTGCTATCATGCTTCTGAGCCTCATTCCCATCTTGAGACCTTTCTTTTCCTTCGTCAGCAAGTCGCAGCAACCCCCCCAAAAGGATATCAAATGCAGCGACTACTCTCCACCAAACCTAGAGTGGCCTGAAGCGATCGAGAGACCATTTGTGTTCATGATTGAGCTGTTTTCTGATGGGTCAGAAGACGACCGTGAATATGATAGAAGATTCGGTATCATGCCTGTTGTATTTGAAACCCTTAGTCCTAATCTCATTCACACAGGGATCTGGAGAGTGCTGGCCACTTTCAAACAGCTGAATCTCCCCGCAACTGTCGTTGTCTCCTGCAGTGATCTGCAGGAGAGTCCGGATCTTGTTCGGGAGCTGACGGGCGGGAGATTCGAAGTTTGCATGCTCGTAGACTGCAGTCAGGCCCTACACCTGTGGGACCTGGAAAGGATTATAGACAAGTGCGGGAGGGACATGGTAACGTATGAGAAGCTGCTCGGCTGTACACCCAAGGGACTCTACCTGCGCAAACTTGATCTCAGGAGCAGAAGACTAGTACATGAACGATTCAAGGTCGGTTACGATGCCAACGGGTATGGTGACAGCCCCTGGCTCGCTCCCCACCTGGTCGTTCCGAACTCCACTTCCAACGTCGAGGATATGAACTTGGGATTTAGCAACTTGTTCGAGGAACTCATTACTAGTCATGCGAGTGATCGGTTGTGCCCACGAAAGCTCACCAGCATTGAGGTGCCTTGCAGTGTGTTCGGAAAGGTAGGAACGAGTCGGACGTTTGCCGACGTGTGATGTCGGCCGTGTGGATCTTATAGAGTCTCTCATGTTGTCTGGTTGCTTGTTGACTGTATCCATTGTGATCTTGCTATCTGCACTTGAGCGATTGTTTGTCAAGTGTCTCTTGTTGAAGCACGGTATGCCAGTGATGCTGTTGGCATGGCAGGTAACGAATACAAAACGGCTTTGGAAAGCCCTCTATTCGCTCAAGAGTTCGCCTGGTGTGTATATAACAACCAAGGGTGAAATTGCCGCGCTATGGTCTCGGCAACAAACGGACAAGTCAAACTCGATACCTGATTCTCAGCAGCCTGATCATTGAATACCGTCGTACCTTCCCTTGTTGCCAGCCAAAGTGTACTCAGCCCCGGAGTCTCCTGATTTGGCCCATAAACTTGCCTTGCTCACGTCAAAGCCCGCCGCGGCGGCGCCGGGCGCCGGGTGCCAAACTTCAAGGCTTGTTTCAGTTCTCAGCGGCTACCTTCAACTCGGAAGCGCCGCGGGCCGGGCTGCGGCACTGCAAGCCTGAGCCTGGGACCGCCGGCCCGGGGGCCGGGCGGCCGCGGCCGCGGCCCCCCGGGCCCCGTACTAGTCACTGAGTCGCAGTCACGTTACTACTTACAGGCCGCGCCCCTGAGGCTAAACCGTAACTACATTCAACTCAGTGACTGGCCCAGTGACGGTGACTCCGGGGGCCCCGGGCCGCGCGGCCAGACTCAGAGGGGCGGCCGCCGGCATCAAGGGCCACCGTCGTGACGATTCTGCAATTCTGTGCCACGCCGTGACGTATCCGGGACGGTCACGAGTCTGTGCCACGCCGTCACGGACGGCTGGCCCGGGCCCCGCCGGACCGTCACCCGTACGGTGATCGGACCCGGCGGTCGGTCCGACCGGGCCGCCGGGTGACCGCCGTACCGTACCGATACGGTAGCAGCCCGGCCCGACCGCGGCCCGGCAGCCGAGCGCACAGCCTGCGCCGCGGCCGGGCCCCAGATCGAGGGTAGGGGTGGTGTGAAGGGGTACGGGCAGTCCTTTACTCAAAGTTAAGTTAAAAATCAGTACGAGCAGTAGTCCGGGTCAAGCCTCCTCGGTCTCACAGCCCTCTCCTGATTGTCCTCGTACTGATTTTTAACTTAACTTTGAGTAAAGTCCGAACGTGACCGGCCGGGAAGAGGCGAAAAGGCGGGAAAGAAAGCAAGGCTTCAAGGGCCTGAAGACATGCTGGCAGGGATTTCACGCCATGTCCCTGGGCCTTCCCCTCCCAACTTGCAGACACGAAAGTCGTTCCTTGTTGTTTTGTGATGTCTCTCGTTTCTCATTTCATATTTCGCTTCATCAATCGATCTGTCTCCTTTGCGACTACTACACATGTATTGCTTCCCGCTGTGCGCCCTTATTCTTCTCGCTACAATGCTTGTATCAATTTTTACTTCTCTTTCTAGATGTCCTTCTTCTTTTGGATTTCTTTCGTGTTTGATCTGTTTTCTTGTTTCTGCAACTATTTAGCATCGCCTATTTAGCCCTTCTTTCGCCTATTTAGACCTTCTTTCTGCTGATTGTTCTTGTCCAGAGCTTCTTTACCCTGCACTCTTCATCTTTCCTGCTTGTACACTTCTGTTGAGTTGCCATCAATTTTCCCTGTGGATCTCCCTGTCTCATTCATCTGTCTCATTCATGATCAATCTTCAATGGCTTGTCTTCTTGCATCTTCCCCCTTCTTGTCTTCCTTTCCCTTTCCTGTCTTCCTTTCCCTTTCCTGTCTTCCATGCCTTCTCCTTTCCTGCTTTTCCTTTTCTTTCCTCTTTTCAATCTCCTCCTGTCATGTTTTTTGTTGTCTGATCATCAGACTCGCGATGCCCTTCCGATTAGTGTTTCACTTTCTCCTTCCTGTTTACTGTTTTCTTCATCCTGTTCGTCGTTGAGGACATCCTTGTCAGTCATTCTATCTTGTCTCATCTCATCTTCCATACTGTCATCTTTCCTCGTTATATCCTCTTTTGTGAGACCAGAAGTGGCGGCTAAGGTAGAGGAAGGATGAAATAGAGAGCCCATATCAGTGAGGTCAGTCTGAGGTCCCTGGGCTGATCTATGCTGCAGGTCTGAGGCTATCTTTCAGTCATCTGATCGACCTCAAGTGGGAGAACAAGTGAGTCGGTAACAACGCGAGAGAAGCCTGTGACGAGGGGAGAACCTCGACCTGGCTCTGGAGAGTCACTGGAAGCAAGCGAGGAAAGCGTGTACGCGAGGACCATGAGGGAGGCGAGATCAAGGCAAGCCATGAGCAGTGAGTTGAGCAAGATATGCGTCTGCTGCAACCGCAAGCAGGCCAACTCAAGAGAGGAGGGACCACACGAGGCTCTCTTTTCCTGCGATTTTCCCCACAAGGTGTTGTTCTTCGCTGATGCCAAGGAGCGAAGTGGCTCGAAGGTTGAGCAGGAGAGAGACTTGATCAGAAATGAGTTTATCAAAGGAGCTCATGAGATGGGAGACGCAGCCTTCATTGAGTTTGCTGAGAGCGTTAGCTTCCAGTACAGCTTGTATAAGGACATCTCCAACCTCATCCGCGAAGTCCATGAGACTGATCCGGTCATCCTGCATCTTGCCTGCCATGGCTCTAAGGAAGGCAACATCGCCATAGGAGGCAAGAGCATCACTGCTGAGCAACTGAGCACCTCTTTGAGTGCGATGGTGAAGAAATGCACGAGGCTGCGGCTGGTGGTGCTGAACTTACGTTTCTCGGGGATCGTAGCGAAGGAGCTTTGCAAGCATGTGGACTTCGTGATTGGGCATGAGCCAGCTGTGGCAGACGAGGACGCGATCGACTTTTCGAGGAGCTTGTACTACTGGATGGGCCACAACTATACGCTATTTGACAATGTCCAGTCAATGTCTCATCCTTCATGTCCAAAGGGTCACCTGCTGGCTCGAGTATCAAGCCATGTGGTCACATGGCGAAGGCAGAAAGTCGTCAACAATCCACCAGACAAAGAACCTGAACCCAAAACAAAGAAATTGAAGGCTTATCCATCTTCACTAGTTCACGATGATGGAGGAAAACAGGATATCAGCGACGTCAAGAACACAATCACAATGATCATGTCCCTGGCTGCCAAGGACAACAACGTGATCAAGCTGGGAGAGCTAGGGGGCATGGAGGCTATCATGGGGGCTATGAAAACACATCCTACGAGCGAGGCTATACACGAGGAGGCATGCAGGGCACTCGCAAACCTTGCTACCAGCGCAGACAACGCGATCAAGCTGGGGGAGCTAGGGGGCATGGAGGCTATCATGGGGGCTATGAAAACACATCCTACGAGCGAGACCATACAGGAGGAGGCATGCAGGGCACTCGCAAACCTTGCTACCAGCGCAGACAACGCGATCAAGCTGGGGGAGCTAGGGGGCATGGAGTCCATCATGGGGGCGATGGATTCGCATTCATCGAGCGAGGCTATACAGAAGTTTGCGTGCAGGGCGCTCGCAAACCTTGCTACCAGCGCAGACAACGCGATCAAGCTGGGACTGCTAGAGGGCATGGAGGCTATCATTTGGGCGATGGAGTCGCATCTGTTCAGCGAGGCTATACAGGAGGAGGCATGCAGGGCACTTGCGAACCTGACTGTAATTGACGACAACGCAATCGATCTGGGAGAGCTAAGGGGCATGGAGTCTATCATGTGGGCGATGGATACCTTTCCATTGAGCCAGGCTATACAGGAGGAGGCATGCAGGGCACTCGCAAACCTTGCTACCAGCGTAGACAACGCGATCAAGCTGGGGGAGCTAGGGGGCTTGGAGGCTATCATGGGGGCGATGGATTCGCATTCATCGAGCGAGGCAATACAGAAGTTTGCGTGCAGGGCACTCGCAAGCCTGGCTGTAATTGGCTCCAACGTGATCAAGCTGGGGGAGCTAGGGGGCATGGAGGCTATCATGGGGGCGATGAAAACACATCCTACGAGCGAGGCTATACAGAAGTTTGCGTGCGGGGCACTCGCAAGCCTGGCTGTAGTTGGCTCCAACGCAATCGATCTGGGGGAGCTAGGGGGCATGGAGTCTATCATGGGGGCTATGAAAACGCAGTCATCGAGCCAGGCTATACAGGAGGAGGCATGCAGGGCACTCGCAAACCTTGCTACCAGCGCAGACAACGCGATCAAGCTGGGGGAGCTAGGGGGCATGGAGGCTATCATTGGGGCGATGGAGACGCATCCTACGAGCGAGGCTATACAGAAGTTTGCATGCGGGGCACTTGGAAATATGGTTGTAATTGGCTCCAACGTGATCAAGCTGGGGGAGCTAGGGGGCATGGAGGCTATCATGGGGGCGATGGATTCGCATTCATCGAGCGAGGCAATACAGGAGGGGGCATGCAGGGCACTCGCAAACCTTGCTACCAGCGCAGACAACGCGATCAAGCTGGGGGAGCTAGGGGGCATGGAGTCCATCATGGGGGCGATGGAGACGCATCCTACGAGCGAAGCTATACAGAAGTTTGCGTGCAGGGCACTCGCAAACCTGACTGTAAATGACGACAACGCGATCAAGCTGGGGGAGCTAGGGGGCATGGAGGCTATCATTGGGGCAATGAAAACGCATCCTACGAGCCAGGCTATACAGGAGGAGGCGTGCTGGGCATTCTCGAACCTGGCAGCTGACCCCGACAACGCGATCAAGCTGGGGGAGCTAGGGGGCATGGAGGCTATCATGGGGGCCATGAAAAGGCATCCTACGAGCGAGACCGTACAGGAGGAGGCGTGCAGGACGCTGTTTCAAATGGCAAACATAGACGATAACAAGGTTGGTCGAGCCCGTTTTGTTGCTTTTGAGTGATACGTGAAGCAGGTCCGGTTGCTGAAACTTGGAGCAAGAACTTGTGTTTGTTCGGCTATGGACAAGTACCTGGATAATGCTGAGATTCAAGGGGTTGGCATCAAGTTTCTTTTAGGGTTGGCAACACGTTTCTGTTAAAGATCTCGGGAAAATCGAACCTGTCTAATCATACGACATGCAATCTATGGCCCCCCGATGGTGATGTGACTACCCTGAAAGTCGCCCATACCAGCCCTCTACAGCCGCTCCTCTCCTCTCCTCTCCTCTCCTCTCCTCTCCTCTCCTCTCCCTCCAGTTCCTCCGAGAGTCTGCTTCTGAGTGCAGATCAGGGTCAACTCGTTAGGGCGATGTCGATGAGCAATTCCCACACATGTGGAGGTCTTTGCTCAGCTGACCCTTGATGAGTCACTACCGTGCCGGCTGTGCCGTGATCCGATGATCAACTGAGGGTTGACTGGCCCGGGGCCGCCGGGCGCGCCGCCGCCCCCGGGGGCGGCAGCGGCCGGTCACTGGCTATGGTTGGCAGTCGGCGGCGCCGGGCTCTTCACGGCCCGGCGGTCCGGGTTCCGAAGTTCACCGTACGGTACGGTCACGGTTAGCGGGTGCGGCGCCCCGGGCCCGGCCGGGCTCGGACGGACGGTCGCCACCATGATGTCTGATGGCCGGGCCAGCGGCTGCTGCCGCCGCTCACCCGGTGAGTAATATACCTGGACTGGAGCTGCGACTCTGGAGCGGCCGGGCGCAGGGAGCGGCGACTGATGACTGGAGCGGCGACAGGAGCGGCGAGCGCCTCATGGGTCAGTGGTGGGATGTGGTCGCATACGAGGCCGAAAATGCTGACAGTAAGGATCGCAATCATGGCCGGGCTGGTGGCGACAGCGCAAGGATTTGTAGGAGGAGCAGGAGGAGGATGTGGAGAAATCATGCTGTCGTCCTCCCGTTGCCGACCCTTGCTGCGCTCCTGCAGCTTGACTGGACCGAGGAGGAAGGTTTCCCTGCTTCTGATGTCAGAGGGAGGGAATCAGGACGAGGTAGCGAAGCTGAAGGCCAAGTTGGAGCAGCTGGAGAAGGAGAAGGTGAGGAGGAGAATCGACACATGACTAGTGGAGGAGGTGGCAGTGGCTGCGCTGACTCTTGATCGCCCAGAACTCCCTGATAGGAGAGAGGCAAAACCTCATGAAGAAAGACGTTCAAGTAGCATGCCTGACCTTTCTTACATGCTGAGACTGACGTTGACGTCAAGAGTCCTCCTCCCGCCTCTCAGTCTCCAGTACAGAAGGTGAGGACGATGAGGTGCGATCGCTGACCCTTCTGATGCTCGTGTGTTGCTGGGCAGGAGAAGCCCATCACTGATGTTTTCGGCACGATACCCAAGGTACAACCGGTTTCGGTGTCCTGAATGACTGACGAGATGAGGCAGAAGACGGACATGGAAATAAAACCAAGAAGGTTCTTGTGAATGGCTGTTACTATCATCTTTCTTCTTGTCGTGGATGTATTGATTCTCGCCGTATTTGGGTTTGTGTTGTACGTCCACTGATTAGATCGAATTGCAACGCTCACATGTCTGCTTATCTCTGACATACCATCATGATCTGATCATTATTGTTGGAAAACGATCACGTTAAGAACATGAACATAATCGTGTTCAGGGAATCATCATCCACTATCATGTGGGGAGGTGCCTTGGTCACTGAATCTTTCCTTGCAGAGGCTTTCTGCAATCCCTTGGTATCGGGATCGGATTCACAATTGCCAGCATCCTCCTCATTGTCTTCCTTTCTTATCCTCGCCTCAGGATTCTTGCTTTCTATCAGGTCTATCCTCTTTCTCTCCCTCCTCCCCTGTACTCCCTCCCTCCTCCTGTTTCCTCCCTCCCCTCTCCTGTCCCTTTAACCCTTCCGCTCTGCTCTTCACTTTCCTCTTTCCTCTGCCCTCTTGGCCCCTGGTACCTCTTCCTCTCTTGGAACAGCTCTCTCTCCTACTCTCATTGTGCTCTCCACCTCGTGCTTTCCTGCTCTCCTATCGCTGACATGCTGGGGGGGCTGGGTCATTCAGTTCGCGTCCATCTACGACGACGGTCTCATCCTCTTCAAGAAGAAGCTTCTCGATGCCATCAACAACCAGGACTGGTTAAAGCACTCCCCTCCTTCCTCCTCCCCTCCTGCCTCCTGCCTCCTGCCTCCTGTCTCCTGCCTCCTGCCTCCTGCCTCCTGCCTCCTGCCTCCTGTCTCCTGTCTCCTGCCTCCTCCCCCCTCCTCCTTCCTCCTTCCTCCTGTCTGATTCCGTTCCAGGGACGAGGTGACGAAGCTTAGTGACGATGGAGGACCTTTGGATCAGCTTATCTTCCAGCCTCTGGTGACCCTGCTCTAGCTCCTGCTCCTGCTACTCCTGAAACCCCCCCCCCACCCCCCCTCCTTCCTCTTTCCTTCTTTCTCCCGCTGTGCCCCTCCTCTCGCCTCCTTTTCTACCTAGCCTCCTTTGACCATCCTCTTTTTCTTGTTCCTTTCGATCTTTCGTTCAACTCGTATCTCCCTGATCGAACTGTTCTCGTTTCACCTGTTCTTTTCCCTTTCATGCCTGTTTGAGTCGACTAACCTGCTCTGTTTTCTTCTTCTTTCTCCTGCTCATCTCCCCTCGCCCTCCTCGCCCTCCTCCTCCTCCTCCTCCTCCTTGTCCTCTTCCTCGCTCTACTTCTTTTCTATCTGTTGCAGTACTTCTGGGTCTCTACAATTGGACCTGATGCAGCACAGCAAGGAGACAAGCAGTACGCCGAAGCGCTCGAGGTAGATCGTTTCTCTCCTTCCACTTCCTCCTTTTCCTCCTCCATTTCCTTCCTTCCTTCGCTTCCTCCTGACCCTAGTCCTCAATCTTTCCCTTACTACTTGAAGTTGCTTCTCTTGTTTCTTGGTGCTCCTTGGCTCGTCCTCAACCGCCCTCTCTTGCCTCTGCTTCCCCTCCCAACGCTCTCCATCCCCTTCCCTCCCTGTTTTCTCTCCTTCCTCGCTTCCTCCTCAACTCCCCGCTCCTCCTCTCCCTCTTCTCCTCTCTCACTCCTGCTGCTCCTCACCTTCCCTCACGCGCATTGCAGGGCATCTTCAAGGAGACAAAGGAAAAGGTCCTGAAGCTCAAGGCTGCCGCCATCTACAAGGACAAGGCTGGAGCTCTGCAGCTGTAAGTTACGAGAACAGGAAGAGAAGCGACGAGACGGAGGAGGAGGAGGAGGAGGAGGAGGAGGAGGACGAGGAGGAGGAGGAGGAGGAGGAGGAAGCAGCAGACGAGGAGGAGGAGGAGGAGGAGGAGGGGGAGGAGGGTAAAGGAGGAGGGGAAGACGGGGAGAGGGTGCTAGAAGAAGGAGGGGGTTGGGGAAGCAGGAGGAGGAGGAGGAGAAGGAGGAGGAGGAAGGAGAAGGAGGGGTGGGGGGGTCAGCAAGCTTGCAGCTTTATTTGTTGATTGACGATGATGTTCAGATGGGCTGACCTGAAGCTTCTTCTCAATCGTTTTGCTCGACTAGCCAATGAGAAGATTCCCCAGGATGTTCCACCATTGGGAGAGATTTGAATATGACGAACAAGAACAAGAACGAGAACGAGAACTTGATGATGATGATGATGATGATGATGATGATGATGAAATGCAGACATGTGGGTTGAGACACAAGAAGGTTTTTAGAGAAGAAGTTAGTTTCAATCAATCGCCATCGTTTCCCCAATCAGTATGACTTGTACCTCTCAATCAGTAAACTCGCCTGACACGAATATGAGCAAAATGAAGTGTGGAGGAAATGATAGGAGGAGGAGGAGGAGTAGGAGGAGGAGGAGGAGGAGGAAGGAGAAGATTGAAAAAAGAGGAGCGGAGTAGTGGCAGAGAAAGGAAGGTTATCAACCTCTAGCATGTTCTTTGGCACGACGGCACATCCAAGTGACTTTAAGAAAGCAAGCTGTCATGATGGAAGAGATTAGAACATAACATCCTGGAGATGTGTTGACCTGTTTCGCTGTCGGCTCTTTATGTTCCATCCCGGACCTGCCGTATTGTTCCGAGAAGTGTCTGACGAGATCAAATTCAGATCCCTGCCTCCCTGCCTCTTCCTCCTCTTCCTGCCTCTTCTTCCTCCTCCTGCCTCTTCCTCCTCTTCCTCCTCCTGCTCCTCCTCTCACCCTCACCCTCACCCTCTCGCTGCCTCTCCTATTACCTTGCTCGCTTTGCTTTGTGCTCCTCACGCACTGTAAGAGGAGCTTGTTCAAATTTCACCACCTGCGCCATCATTTTCATCGTCATCGTAATCATGATCATCATCATAACGTAAGATGTTTCCAACCTCTTTCGCATAGTTGATTGCAGAAGCGCAGAAATTCTCAACCGTCGCCTCCTCCGGAGCTCTCAGCATGGCGAGAAGTTTTGAATATACACTCTTCGTCTTGCAGTCCTTGGCAGCAAGTTTGTCTTGCACGATGCACTTGATCTGCACAATGATGTACATCGTCATTGCATGCAAGCAGTACAACCATGATCGCCTTGAAAACAAGTTTGTTCGGCTCTTTGTACATCTCAGTCCTAGCCCATCGATGAAAGATGGCCGCAACCTGTAAAGTTTTGTTCAACTCAGGTGGAGGCAGAGTCGTTGTCAAAATCTTCACCGTTCTCCTCTCCTGCATCTCAAATCGCTGCAAGAATCCGCAAGAGAAGAATGAGTCGCTCTGTATTGCTTCTTCTCCCTCCTGCTCCTGCTCCTGCTCCTGCTCTCCCTCCCGCCCCTCAGCACTTCGGCCGGACTCCATGAAGCTCGATCGTTGCAAGAGGTGCGACGGGATCTCCGACAGGAAGGGAGAGGGTTCGAGCATCTATCAGTCAAGTCAACAACACATGGAGAGAGCGGCATGTCCGACATGATTGTGCGATGTCATGATGAAGCTCATGTGCAGGAGCCGACGAGCTCTCGTCATCGCAACGTAGCACAGCCTCCGCTCATCCTCGAGCTCATCTTCCCTCAGCACCTTAGGATGGAGCGTCAGGAGCGGTTAGGAGGAGCAGGAGAGTGTAAGGATGAGGAAGAGGAGGAAGCAGAGAAGGGGGAGAGGGAAGAGGAGGAAGAGGAGGAGGGCAAGGGAGAGAGGGGAGAGAGGAAGAGGAGGAGAAGCGCAAGGGAGAGAGGGGAGGAGGAGGAGGAGAAGCGCAAGGGAGAGAGGAAGAGGAGGAAGCAGAGAAGGGGGAGAGGGAAGAGGAGGAGGAGGAGAAGCGCAAGGGAGAGAGGGGAGGAGGAAGGAGCAGCAAGTCTCACTGTGTTGATGTTGTTTGCAAGAGGAATCTCTCCTGCATTGAACCGGACGAGATGTACAACATCCCATTCCAATCCTTTGCCTTGCAAACTATCAAGGCAAGGCATGGCATGGCAAGGCAAGGCAAGGCAAGACAAGACAAGGCAAGACAAGACAAGACAAGACAAGACAAGACAAGACAAGGCAAGACAAGGCAAGACAAGGCAAGGCAAGGCAAGGCAAGGCAAGGCAAGGCAAGGCAAGGCAAGGCAAGGCAAGGCAAGGCAAGGCAAGATGAGGAGGAAGGAAGAGGGGGGACACAGACGATCAACAGACATCACTCCCATGGCCTCTCACTCTGGTGGATCGTCGACAACGTGACTGCGTCCTCGTTGTCGAACTTGAACTTTGCATGATCTACCCGAGGGTGAGAGGTTCCAAGTGACACACATGCGACATGTTACGTTCAGACTCTTCAACGAGCTGATGGTCGAGGAAGACAGCGATCGCTCTCTGGCATGGCGACAAGACTTCTCCTCCTCCGGCGCTCGTTCGTCCTCCCTCGTGCCATTGGCACATCCACTCAGCGGCAACTCCATCCACCATCAACTGGAAACATCAGGAGCAGGAAGCAAAGATGAAGGGAGCACCTTCTTCTCGAACTCTTTGATGAAGCCCAGCAACACCTCCCTCACGCTCCTGTTGTCCTTCTTCTCGTTCAGCAGCTGAGCTCCTGCTGAGCACAAACAACATCACTACCCACTCACATCCTGCTCCTCCTGCTCCTCTTGCCCATGCCTCTCCTCTTCTTCTGATCTCAATTTTCATCACCATCGTCGGCTTCCTCCTCCTTTTCATCCTCAATTTTTGCACATTATCTCCACAAAGCGAACCAACTACCTTCTTCTTGATTGACGCTCAAGTCGTACTTGTTGCTCTGAGGAAGACTTGGAATGATCTGCAAGATCTTCAAAAGTTTGACACCACCACCACCACCACCACCGCCACCACCATCATCATCATCATCATCATCATCATCATCATCATCACCGTCTCAACGAAAGTTGAGAGAGTTGTGCTCTCTCTGGCGAGTCTGATGAAATTTTCTACTGTTGACAACATCTTTCTGCCCAAGATCTGCACGAATTTGTGCAAGGGAAGAAGGGAAGGAAAAAGGAGAGGAGAGGAGAGGAGAGGAGAGGAGAGGAGAGGAGAGGAGAGGAGAGGAGAGGAGAGGAGAGGAGAGGAGAGGAGAGGAGAGGAGAGGAGAGGAGAGGAGAGGAGAGGAGAGGAGAGGAGAGGAGAGGAGAGGAGAGGAGAGGAGAGGATATCAGCAGATCAGATCAGATCAATTCAAGTAGAAATTTCGTGTCAACCACAAGTTTCTTGGACAGACTCCCGCTGAACTTGGCCCTCAGCACTTGCTGCGCAGACTGCCACAGGCTGATGCATCTGATATTCTTCAGTCTTGCAAGACTACTGCCGCAATCAGCAGCCGCCACCTGGACGCAGCAAACTTTTCGAGATGGTTCAGAATCGCTCCTGTCGCCTCCTTGTCTTGGTACAGGAACCCCTTGATGAGACGCCGGCATGCCTGACGGCCCCATGTCATGGAATGAGGAAGAGGCAAGAAGAAGCATCTTTTACCTGATCGTCTCCATTGTTTGCTACGATCCGCAGCACAGACATAACAACTTTGATCACCTGAAACTTTGTGAATGCTCAGCAAGCAACTGACTGACGACTTTTCTTCTCCAGAAGGAAACTCCGTGCACGTTGAAAGGGATGTCTCGTTTTCTGTCACGTCACAGCGCAATCACAATCACAGCCATGATGAAACATCCGACAGACAACACAATCCATGTGGCTGGAGGAATCAGAAGAAACGCGCGATCACAACTCATGATCTCATCATTGTTCCACAGACGCACATCAGTTCCTGCTGAAACACCCTTCCAGTCTTCTGCGTGCGATAAAGAATCGCAACTTCCTTGTCTGCAATCACGATCATAACAACTGTACATGTCATCCTCTCAATCTCACATCGGGTCCCCTCTTCAAGTCCCTTCACGATCTGTTGCACCACAAAGCTGATCTCACTCTTCTCGTTCCGGCATTCCGTCACCTCCCAGAACATCAATGTCTACAGCAAGTTCAAGGCCGAGATGTTCACTCTGATCAGCTCCCCTGATTCCTTCATGGCCTCCGCCGACTTGTCGCACCGGTTTTGGTTGTGTTGTATCACTGCAAACATCAAATTTTCAATTCATTGCCGCTCCTCGCCAGATTTTCCTGATCGGGCAGCGTCGACAATGCACTTGGACGATCGATAGTTTGTCTTGCAACAGAAAGGTAATGTGAGTTGTCATTTCTGCAAGCAGCTCTATCACCGTCAATTTCACTTCTTTGTAGTTGGGAAATGATCTGGATCACAGGTAAGTGGCAAAAAGAGCAGGATTGTGTGGTCATACCCTCTGAACAAGTCAAAGTTCGCGTGATTGGAGCCATTGAAAACATAGATTGTCTGTTGAATCGCATCAGCATCATTTCCAGGAAACGTTCGATCCTTGTTCAACTCACTTGATCATCATCCCCAACAGCGGTAATCTGCGTTGTGAATGTCATTCGAACAACACGACGGAGAGCAAGAAAACTGCTCTTCTCTCTTACCTTCCCTCCTGTTACGAGTTGTTTCACAAGTTCAAACTGTGATCTACTTGTGTCCTTCACATGAGATCAGTTGATGTCAACATCAGGGCTTGTTCACAGTCACCTGGAACTCATCGACAAGAACTGCCTTGTACATGTCATGAAAGTAGTTCTTTGCCTCTTCATTCTGACCCTTCTTCAACCGTAGAAGATCACATTGGAGTTCATTACCTCCCGCAGAAGTTTGTTTGCTCGGGAGATCAGCGAAGAGAAATCCAGTGACTTGCACTGACTCAAGCATGAACAGAAACCTTTCATCGCATCATCAAAACTCATACTTCCGCAAGAGTCTTTTCGTAAAACTCCAACAAGAATCGCATCTCATCGTCCAACGTCGCAGCTTCCGTTCCATGCGCCTTCGAATCGCCATCATTCGAACAGTCAACAAGTGTGTTGCAAACCTGAGCTAGGGAAAGAGATTGACCCAACCGTTTGACTCGATGCTTGTCTGGCTTCGGCATGTCGATCCACTTGTGCGAGTCTTCTGTATGGTCTGATGATGATTGTGCTTGTTTGTTCTCTTTGTTTGCGCATCCTTGCTTCATCTTGCTGAAGTCACCATCGTCACCGTCATCGTTAAGATCGTAATTGCCATCACGACATTGTTGTCGCTGCTAACATCATCATTTTCATCTTTATTTGCATCTTCATCATCATTCCAAATCGCATAATCACCATCTTCGTCTCTAACATCTCCATGAATATCCAACAACCTGTATTCCAGAATTCCCTGAGTGATGATCTTCTTTTGCCTCCCCCCTGCCGTAACACTGAGCTTCTCTTCCCCTCCCATGATCTAGCGTTACCTGTGAACACAACAAAGTCCGGTGGCAACCCGATTTCCTTGGCATACTTTCTGCAGATCTGCAAGGCAGACCAGAGCGGCGCGGTCAAGAAACTTCATCCCACCTGGCGATCATTCGATACCTGGAGAGCAAATGCGTGGAACGTGAAGATCGACCACGCGTGTTTTCCTTTCACGCCTTCAGTCAGACAGGGAGCAAGGGATGAGCGTAGATGTTTTGCTTGTACCTTGAATGCATCTCGTCAACCTTTGTTTCAACTCCTTGGCAGCTGCGGTGCTGAATAGTATGATCATGATATACATCAGCTCTCTGCAGATTGATGGATACCTGAACGTGAGGATCAAGATGTTTTCCACAGCCAAGCCCTACAAAATGTCAAGCTGACATTTCTGGTAAACGAAATAGAATAGAGCGCGCAAAGGGAAAGGGGGGGGGGGGGCGGAGGGAGTGTGAAGCCGAGCGGAGAGGAACAGAGCAGAGAAGAGTCGGCGCCCGAGAGTGGAAGTTAGCTCTTACTCGAAAGACGAGATTCTTGATGCGGCAAACAAGCGTCTTCGTCTTACCACTTCCTGCACCTGCGAGAACAACGTAAACGTGTCATCGTCAGAGTATTTTTATCCTATCGCAACCAGCAAGGATAAGGAGCGGGATGTCGACGGCATGCAAGGCTGCTTCCTTCTGCTCGCTGTTGAGCTCCGTCGACTCGAACTTCACATGTCGCTCATCCTCCACAGGATTCACGCCAACTTCATCCTCCTCGTCTAGAGCATCGTCCTGGACCATATGTTCCTTGCTCGTTTGCTGGACTTCCTCCTTCACATCAATCAACATGTCGCTCTTTCCAACGCCCTCCACTCACCTCATCGCAGACCCGATCTTGGTAACAAGTGCGCATGAGATCACTTGGAGGTTTGATGGGGGACTGAGATCATCTAAATCTCATGGATCTAACTCACAGACTATTACCTGGGACCAGTTTGAAGGAGATGGATACCTTCCGGCAATCAGCCTATAATGTCCACGTAGCACGTCACTGGTATGAACAGACAACTATTTGTACCGCTTCGGAGAGCCTTGGTCAGAGCAATGCTCGAGATTGCTAGCTCTATACTGATAAATTCATCACAGCATGCACTAGCTGACAGAGAGCAGGATCATCACCTCTTGGATTTGAGCAACTTCCGTGTGCTTCGCACAATCCATGGTTGCTTGCTTGTTTGTCGACCAGGCTTTGAACTTTCCTTAGTTGGTAATGCTGAAAGGAAACTTTAGATATCCTAACAAAGAATCTTCATTTTTGATAATTCGATAATGTTTGGACGAACACGGTTGAGTTCTACCACTCAAGAATTTCGACAAGTTGCTTGGGATCCGATGTATTCAGACTTCGATGGCCAATCAGGCAATCAGTTGCATGCATAAAAGATGAGCGAAGGTAAGGAAGGGGACAGAGAGGAAGAGGAGGAGGAGGAGTAGCAGTAGCAGGAGGAGGAGGAGGAGGAGGAGGAGTAGCAGGAGGAGGAGGAGGAGGAGGAGGAGGAGGAGGAGGAGGAGGAGAAGAGCATCATTGGGTTTCTTGAGACCGTCCTCATCGGAATGCGACAGTGCATTTTATCGACAGCCATCTTTATTTGCACTTAGTTCAACAAAAACACCAAATAATGAGTCTGATTTTGAAATTAAAAGATATATTGAATCTGACTCTTGTTTTGTTCCTGCCTACTTGACCAAATTTTCATAAAAATGAAAACCTATCTAGACGTGTACACCCACCCCAATAGTCTCATTTGGACCCACCCCTGGGAAAAAATGACAGAGTACCCCAACCCACAATTTCTCTGAAGAAACAGCATATCGGTATTGTACCCTAGGTACTACCCACCCCTCATTATAAATCTTCCGTTAGCTTGTATGGGGTGGGATAGAAGGGGGTTCGACCAACTCGGATTTTCAGCGTCACTCTGTAACATGTAGAATGATGTCCTGCTCACAGGACTAGTGTGTTATGAATACAACATTTGCACGTGTTCGCGTATCGACTGCAATCGACACGAAAGAATCTGAGCGATTTTGAGACTTGATTCCAGGTTGAGCAATCTTTCTCTAAGGCGCTTTAGCTTTAGACTTCATCAGTTACATTTTACATTGCTTTTTATTACTGTTTCAAATATTCATTTTATTCGATCCTAGGTTGAGGTTCTCCTGAACATGCATATCTTTCGACGGCAAACATGTTCATCGCACGCAAAGTTGCCCAAACAATACTCTCTTCACACTTCACAGCACTCAAATCTGAGACAATCTTTTGAACCTTCGAACTGAAGAAGCAGCACGTGCCGACTCTGGTTGAGATTGAGACTGAGCCACTGTAGACCTGCTGACGATCTTCGAGATGGAGGGTTGCGACTTAGACAGCAAGGAAGCAACAGCTTCTGCATCCTGAGTCTTCGGTCCCTGAACACTCGAAACTTTGTCTGAATTCCAGCGCTTGCGGTTGGCTTTCGATTCACACTGACGAAAGCAAAGCTTGGCCATGTTGCGTTGCAGGTCAGAACCTGTGCTGCCTGCAACCTTACGTACAGGAACTCCAAAGTCTACATCGTCGAGGACCTCAAAAGAGAGGGCATTTCTGGGTGCCATGCTGGAAACTGAAACTTCCAAAGAAGTTCCACAGGTTTGATTTCTGATCAATGCCCCTGAAATAGCACTTCGCACCTTTTCATAGGATAGCAAATTCAGTTGGGTTCAAGTTTCCAAGGAAAAGCCTTTCCAATGCTTCGTTCAATAAATCCTGCATAAACAAATTAGGCACTGTAACAAGCATTCAAATTCTGCTAAACGTACCTTGTAGTTCTTGGATAGTCCCAACGATCTGAAAGGTAGGAGAGAAGGAGGGAAGGATTAAGTTTTTGCTGATTACGAGGAACTTTGATTCTTGCTTGAACGGTTTGATTCGTGTAGCACTTGAGAACAGTCCAAAGAGTATTGTTGTTGATTTATATTTGTTGATTTTTTGATGTTATATTGTTATTTTGTTTGTGTTTTGATTTTTAAACTGTAAGAATATTGCAGGTCTGCAATGAAAGAATATCTTGTTGGACAAGTGTTACTTCTTGGTCTAGAAGAGTTCCAAAGCCACTGTCCTATTGGGCTAACAAAGGCCAGAGTGTTATTCAACAAATTTCGAAATAACACCAGTGAGACAGAAAAAAGGGTCCAGTTTCAAGAGAATGAAACAATAATGTCTCAATGAGGGACACGCGTGTCTATCAATTAAAAAATAAAGGAGCAGGGGGCAACGGCGAGGATATTTAAAAACCTGACCGAGAGGGGAGATGGCAGGGGATGGGGTAAAGGCTGGGGAATGAGAGAATCGGGAAATCCAACCGTGAGCAAGATTGAACGAATGAGAAGAGAAACAGAGCTCAGATCGGACGCAAAGAGATGGGGGGAAGGAGAGATGTAGGAGGGAGCAAGGAGAGATGGGCAGGGGGGATGAATGAGGAAGTGGTGGTATATGGTTAGACAGTAGCAATTGCAGGCATGTTGGGGGTGGGGGTAGAGAAAGAAAAGTGGGTAGCAACAATTAAGTTGGCGTATCTAAAAATTACCGTTTTGAGGTAGGGTGCACTACAACCGTTGCCCTGGAGGTATATGGCATAATGATACGTACTAATTTCCAGGACCGGTTTGTAATATAAGTATGGTACATGGGGTATCTCTGAGAGAGAGTACATTAGAATTTTTTCATCACTACCGGTCATACCATAAGACCTGCCAGGAAAGAATGGAATGTGATCCATTATTCGAATTCAGGTCCACTCGTGTAAAACTCTAAAAGTATATCATGTACTGTTGAGGACCCTTTAAAAACATTTGTAGACTTGTACAAATATTTTGTTGGCCAGAGTTTGGTACAAATAAAAAAAATCATGGACCCTCGGTACAACATTTTTTTCAGTTGTGAGCTGTCTGTACCTCATTGTGACACATAGCTAAGATGGATCTGTACCAGTTGTGAGTACCAGTAGCCCTTATCGGTACAACAAACATCACAGACAAAATCAAAGAAAAACTGTACAAAAAGATCTGTACCAATGGTAACAAGCCATGGTAGGAAAGTCTTTACAATTAAAATAAAACCAACTGATTTCGTGGGTGGCAGGAACTCTTTCTACCACGGCTGGTACACTCGCAATCGTACCAATAATATTCCAGTCACATAAAAGTTTAGTAGACAGATCATTGCAAGAACACAACGTTTGAATCTTTTTGCTTGACTAGTTTCATTATACATGTTAGTAAAAGACCTGCTAATTACTTTTAACATTCCAAACAATCTATTTCTAAGATCGAATCGTTCTAATCCAATTCAATAACTGTTTTATTTAGTACCATATGAGTCCATAGTCGTTAGATTCGGCTGTTGTAAGCACGTGAGGGAACTATTTTCAAGGAAGTTTCTCAACATTTAGTTATTTAATTTCAAATTATTAAGATATTTTCCATGTTTTTGGTAGTTCCAAGAATATTTGGGTAGGCGTATTTTATTGGTCGATTGGAATCTGTGATATTAAGATCGCAATGATTGAAGTTTTAAGGCTCCTCACTTACAAACTTATTAGAGTTTTTGAAACAGTAAAAGTAAATATATGTGCATATTTTATAAATTTCTTTTACAGAGCCCATAGGGCGTAGCAAGGACAGCGGATGATCTAAGGATTCCCTTTCAAGCCCTGAGTACCCCTCGTTCTACATAGCAAAAGGGGGGTGTGACCTCCTGGTGGGAAGGGAGTCGGATAACCCCTATGGGAAGGTTGGCAAGCATTTGACTCCGGGTTTTGAGATGTACCCACAGAAAACAAGGTTAATGAGGGGGTACTGGGTATGTCTAAACCGACCCTTTGGACGCCTTCGGATCCATCTCCACCCTACCTACTGAAACATATGGAAATAGGGGTGGTACTTTTGAACTTTCAAGAGCCCTTTGTACCCTACCCATGTATTGTAGGTCTTCGAAAGGGGTGATTTCCTCTTTCTTGCATTCCACCCCTGTAGATCTAGATGCGGCCCAATGACGGACTATGAGGGGTGGGAGTGCAGAACAGATTTGACTGAGATCGAGATCATCCATGGGCAGATGATTTCTTCAGAGAGATCTTAAGATGAAATACACATCTCCTCTGCCTTGCTTCATCGTCGACTCATCCTACATGACCACTACCGGTGCTTGCGATCGTTCTAGAAGGAATTGCCTACCCCCCCGGACTACCCCCTTATATGCCTGCCAATCACCATCGGATGTCACGTTCACTTGCAGAGTGAACTTGCCAAGCCTGAGGCTCATAACCCTCGCGCGCCGCTCTCTGACAGTCAAAGGCGGGCCGTGCCGGCCGGCTACCGTCGGGCCGGCACAGTCTCCGGCGCAGTCACCGTCTGGCCACGGCCGGGCCACTAAAAGTCCGGCTCTGAGGCCGGCTGGCACAGGGTGGATGAGGGGCGTCAGCTATGATGACCTCTGAAATGGCGAGTGGGAGGTGAGTAGAGGGATGCAGAGGAGGAATGGCGGATGAGAAGAGAGCGCGAGAGAGAGAGGATGTAAGATCGTTACCATGACCATTTCTTGAAGGAGGAGAGGATCAGATGAGAGAAGGGATGTTCAATGGAGGGAGAAGCGATTCATATGGTTGGGACTCCTTCATTCTGCTACTAGAGGACGACAGGCGTGGACGATAGGCGGGTTGGGAAGTTGATGATGTTGTGGAGGATATTTTTCTTCACACAGTGATGAGTCGGCTCGATTCATCCTTTTCAGTTATGCGGTTGAGTCGAGTGGGGAACACTGAATGACATGAGCATCTACATTATTCTGAGTTTGTCGGCAGGATGAGCAGATGAAGCGTTGGGATCAGAGCATTCAGGGATGCCGAAATTCTTTCGTGATCCACGCATGACCATGAATTTCTTGCCCCCTGCCACCAGGGCACCTCGGATGTACCGCTGGAACACCATCGTTACCTCGCCTTGCCCCATCGTCGGCCTCCGGAGCTCTCACTCAACCACCTCGGATCGGCATGACGGGCGAATGCGCAACAGCGCGCACCATGAGCGGAGCGAGCATATCGACCTGCACCATCATGACAACCATCTCCACCAACAACAGCATGACCTCCACCGCCATCCCAACCACCTGCACAACCATCTCCAGCAGCAGCACGACAAGTCGTCGAGGAGGAAGAGCGATCATCAACTTCCGAGGTGGATCCCTCCTGCTCGCTGGCTGCCGGACCATGAGCACGGCATCGACTATCGGCAGAGGCTCAAGGTGCGTATGCTGCTGTGCCATGCCGCCGTCACCGCGCTCACATGTCCTAGTACGACCTGGGGTCTTGGCCCAAGAAGCCTCTTCCTCATCACCTTGAAGTGAGGTTGATGCAGAGGTAAGACGACAGGCTGAGAGTCTTCCTCCTCCTCCTCCTCCTCCTCCTCCTCCTTTCTTCTCCTCCTTCCTCCCCTCCTCCCTCCTCCTCCCCGTCCCTCCTCCCCTTCTCTCTCGTCTCCTCCTCCTTCTTGCCTTGCTGCCTTCGAGGCTGTCTCTGTCTCTGTCTCTGTCTCTGTCTCTGTCTCTTGTCTCTGTCTTTGTCTCCTGTATGTTCTTCTGTCTCTGTTCCTGCCCCTCTCTTCACCCGCCTCTCTCTGGTCCTTCTCCCTCCCCTTGAGCCTGATCACGCACTGCTGCAGGCTGAGCAAGCTTGAATTCACGCACTCAATGCTCTCCACGATTGCCGAGAGGATGTCTGAACTGCCCAAAAAGAGAATCGAGTCTCACTACCACACCGGCAGGAGGTTATTCCCTTCCTCCTCCCCTCTTGGTCTCATGTACGTCGTCCCTCTCTTGACCATCAAGTCGCAGAGCTGCGGTTATGCTTCCGCTGTGTGTTGTGGACTCGAAGCCTTCGGTACTTTTGAACTTGAGATCTCATAATGTCAGCACGCACAAAGGCCAAGTACGTCTATCCTTCTTTCTCCCCTCCCCTCTTCCTCCTCTTCCTCTCCCTCCTCTCCCTCTCCCCCTCCCCCTCTTCCTCCTCTGCCTCTCCCTCCCTCTCCCTCTCCCTCCCTCTGCCTCTCCCTCCCTCTCCCTCTCTCTCTGTCTCTGCCCTCATCCTCTCCTGGCCCTTGTTTCTTCAACCTCTGCCTTCGCTTCTCCTCGTTTCCTTTTCCCGCTTGCGATAGCGGTGAGGCAAACAAGCATCAGCCTGATCGCTTGTCATGAAGGTCTGTTTTCCTGGAGGACATTTAGACCTCTCCGATGAATGCATGGTGAGAGAATTCCCTCCCTCTTTTTCCCCCTTCCCTTCCCTGCCCTCCCCTTCTCCTTTCCTGCCCTGCCCTGCCCTCCCCTCCCCCCTCCCTTCCCTCCCCTCCCCTCCCCTCACCTCACCTCCCACTTCCCTTCCCTGCCCTTCTCCCCCTCTCCCCTTCCGCTTCCCTCCCTCGCATCTCCACTGCCGCTTCCGTCCCTCCTTCCCTCCTTCAACCCGCTCCCCTCTTTTCCCGGCTCCCTTTTCAACATCTTCATT